TCCACGGAGCACAGTGCCATAGTGCTCATTTCCCACTTTTATCATGTTTTTCAGGTCAGGATGTCGGGCAGGGAGCGTGAGATGACGAAGGCTTCAGGACTTTTGTGTTTTTACTGTGTATATATTATGATAATTTACGTTTCCGCTGACGATGGTTTTTGATGAACTTATATTTTGACCGGACTTTTGGAAAACATTATGTTTTCAGTAACAGTATGATTTTATTAAAAATTAAGATAACGGTTTTCCAAATTAAGTCATGTTTCTAAGGTAGCACCCCGAATCAGTTTTCGCAAAGTAAAAGATTTTATTTTTAAATAACTTTGCGAAATTTTTGCACTCTGGTTTAACGATAAGGAGGGGTGTTACAATTGGTATCAGAGCACGTTTCTGCGTCTCTGAAGAGTTTTTCAGTCAGTAATTTTCAGAAAAACCTGAACTGTCATGCTCACGCCCCGCCGACGACAGGTAAGTGCTGATTTATGTTTTCAGTTATAAACATATTACTATGTATATGCTCAAAATTATGGATCAGGACCTTAGTTAAGATGCTCGAATCAGGATCGGACTTTAGAATTCAGGGCATTCAGATATGACTCTAGAAATTAGTATCTTCCGATATGACTCTAGAGTTCCTCAGGATTCATGTCAGTATTTATCGGCCATTTTTGGCAACTCGTCAAGAGATCGGTGTGCCTTAGTAATCAGTCAGAACATTATCATGTGTTCAATAATTTTGAACTTTTCCAATGTTCAGATGCCGCCCCGTAGGGAACCCGATCATCCGGCTCCTACTCAGGCCACAGTAGTCGCTCAGTTCCGCGACTATCATGTTGAGAAATTTTCCGGGCAGGGAGATCCCCGTATTGTGGACGAGTGGATTCATAACCTTATAAAGGGATTAAGTTTGAGAACTCTAGATTCAATTCTAGATTTATTCAAGTCAAGTTAGCAACTTGTCAGGAGATTTGTAAGCACTTATGCTAAACAAATCTTAATAATCATGTTTCTCAGATATTTCTATCGAAAACTGCCATTTTGCTAATCGAAGTGGCAGACTTCATGGAGAAATTCCTTGATTCAATTCAAAGAATAGACTCAAATTTCTTAAATCAAATCAGTAAAACATGTTCAAGGCAACAATTTTCATGTTAAAGGTTGTTATAATTCCCAAGTCATTGTTAAAGTAACGGTTTCTAGTGTATAAGAGTCAATAGTCCGGGTTACCATGGAGGCTTGAAATAAGAGCCATTCAGCCGGGTATACCATGGAGGCTTGAAGCTGAAACCGGAGCAGTATGATTTCATGTAATAACAACCTTTCAAGTCAGTCATGTCAGATATTTTATCAGTCATGATATTTCAAGTTATGATTTTCAGAGATCAAGATCAGCTAATTACTTTGTACTTGCGGGACCAGTTGATACTGGAGCAACCCTATACAGTACAGAGTTATAAATTCATGTTCATGATTTACAGTTTATGCTCATGATGTAAGGTCGACGTATAATAGTTGTTCAGCCGGGTTAAATGTGGCGGTCT